GGTGAAGTGAAAGAGGAGAGCACCAACAGTACCAAAGCCCAGGATTGGTATCAAAAAAGTCACTGCCAAAAACTAGGATGGTTAGCCATGTTGGAAGGTGGAAGACAAAATGAAGCAAAAGAAAGAGCAACAAAAGAGGGCTAGCCAGACATGGCTCCTAAGGATGAGTAACAGACAGTGGTACCTGTGGACCAGTGAATTGGAATATCAAGGAAATAATATGACTGCAAATGAGCAACATAAGTTTGGGATGCCAAGGAGATGGGGACACCTCCTAAGGCCAGGTCTCCAAATTGTCAAGGTAAAGATCCTAGAGGAAGGGATGCAGAAACCCAATAGAGAAGCTCCTAAAACACAGAAACCAGATCAAATTAGAGACAGAACAGGAAGAAATGGAAACCGCAGTAGTAAACAAAGAAGCTTAGAATTATGGGGGTTGTAAAGAAGAGCCTCAGGTAAGGGGGGGGGGGGGTGAAGGGTAGAGATAGCCTAAAGGAGTAGGGTAAAGATAGATAAAAATGAACAGATAGCTGGAAAGAAAGACAAAGAAAAAAGAAAGGACTCATGAGATTAGGGATGAAGTATAAAAGGGCCATGACCTGAGGCTAAATCAAAGAAGTCAACAAGATAGTTGGACAACATGGAGTTGGAGCATAAGAAAGCACACAAAGTAAAGCAATCAAAAGTAAATTATAATATACAGATAAAAGAGGATAAATTATCTGTTCCTCTTCAGGGAGTGAAGAGTCAGAAACAAATATTTGAGGTAGAAGAACTGACCAAAATCATCCACAAGTGAGGCAGGCACAACAGATGGCAAAGAAACAAAATGATTGGGGACCTGAACTGGGAAGATCTAGACAAAAAGGAACCAACCACCTGATGCACAAAAAGGGGAACATCACTAGTTAATTTGACAGTACATCATGGTTTCTCATAGCTCAATAAGGTTGTGGAAGTTAAGTTATCCATGATGTCAAAAGTGCCTCACCACAGAGGAAAATCCAACACCTGCCATACACAGGAATGTTTCTACTAAGTGAGCTAAAGATATAAAAACTGAATTTCAGGCCCATGAACAGATAAAGTGACTCCAATCGCCACTGAGCCAGTTAGAGAAAATGCCTAAAAAGGAATGTCTTGGCCTTGGGATTTTTTTTTTGATATTTTACTTGACATGTATTGTTAAAGGAAGCCTAAAGTAGAAATGTGATGGCTAGAGAAAGTGAAGTTACAATCTGGTAGATGGAACAAAAATGCAACAAAGACAAAAGCAATGTAACAAGAAAGAAAGGCAGTCAATTAATCCTTTAATCACTTTTCTGTGCAAGTCACTGTGTTATATTCAAAATTTAATTAAACCACTTTACTATCAATTTATGTGAATTAAATTAACCTTATAATGTATGTTATGATTCGAAGTTTCATGTTATCTAAGTTTAAGTCCTTTATTTCAAACGAAATCTTTAAAAACTACTTAAAACTTCAGGTACATTATCACGCGACCAATGAGCTATGAAAATTCTCTACTTTGGCACTCTGTACCTTCAATAATACAATGGTAGTTGTGTAGATGTACATCTAGACTCTAAGATGCTTACATAGCTTTTTGACTAATACATTTCATAGATCTCTGAATGAATACAGTTAAAACATGTAATAAATTTGTCAACTCCTGACAGGCACCACACCCACCTTCAACATACTTGTTTGAGTTTTGTAGCCTATATGTAAATGTTACATATACATAGACATTAGAAAGAGCTAATTTTAAACTACAATCTAACAACAGTTCTTTTGAAATTGGCATGCAGTTGTCGTCAAGGTGTACATGTAACTGACTGTAGTATCGTTGGCTGCTTGATTGACTATAGCACTTACTGTTGTGTCTTACCTCAATATATTAGTTAGAGATACAGTTTAAATTGTATTTAGGTCTTACTACTATATTTTAGTTAATTATGTATTAGTTATGTTTTAAAATGCATAATGCAAAAGTTTAAACATTTTTTAAATATACATCATATTTTGCATCAGTTTTCAAGGTTTATGATATTACACAGTGCAAAAAAATTTTGCCTAAGGATTTGTACATGTCTGTTATAGACACCGTAATATGCCTTGAGGAACTGTTCACTTGTGTTGACGTCAATAATAGGTGATAAAGAAAAAGAAAGAAAAATAAAACATTAAAAATTAACTATATGTGAAAAGGAAAAGACCTGAAATTATGAACTTAACAAAAGGAAAATCTGAACCAAAATGCAATTCTGATGGAGATTATTTGTAACCTTTCTTACTTCAAAAAGTTATGAATTCTTGAGTAAACAGAGAAGTTTTTACCTGATACTGCTAATACGTTTAAAAACAAGGACTTGTAGATGATGATTCCCAAACTTCCAGCCACAACATAAAATCAATGTGGGAGGGTGGTAAAAACATTGATGTCATGATTTCTTTTACACAGTTACATTCAAGATTTAATTAAACTACTTTATTATCGATGTATGTCAAAAACTTTGGCATCAAAATGTAGTTCATAACTCCAATTTTTATATTATCTGTGTTTTCATTTTTTACATTCAACAACAAATATTTAAATAAATTCTCAGCCTGCACCTCATACAGCCATGACTTGGTGGCACTGTGATTTCTCATTTAGATTTTTTTTTTTCCTTACAAGGGCTTCAGATTGGTCAATCAATCAGAAACACTTGCTTTAGATATTGACAAGCCAATCTTTTACCTTTTTGCTTTACTAAGATATAACTATATTTGTTCAACCCACATTGACATTTAATGGTTGGTTAGAAAGCCAGGAAAATTACAGTTGTTGTGGAACCTCCTAATCTAGCAATATATTTTTTATTTTCTAAAATGTGTATATGAAAGCTACATGAATTATTTATGGACAATCAACAAAAGAATGCACCTGAGTTCAAATAGCATCAAGGCTAAAGTAAGTGTTAAATTTCTTAATTCGTAAGTATATTTATTTATTATATATTTTTTAAAAAAGTAACTATAATTAAAAATTAGAAACTTATAAGGCTTAATAAGAAAATATAAGTGAAAAAATTAAATAATATTTTCCTCAAGGAATGCAAGCAGGCTGCCACTTTCATTACTTAGAATATATAATTGTAACTTTCTATTACAATTTGCAGTCATTCTAGTAAAAAAATATTTTTAATTTTATTTCAAATTGTGCTACAGGTGATTTCACTAGTTAACATTTACATAGAGAAAATTTGAGATGAAATACGAAGTTTTACAGAAAAAACTTTGTATACTCATTTAGGGAGTTCTAGAAGTTATGTAAATGAAATATGAAAACTGTATACTCATTTAGGAAGTTCTAGAAGTTATGTAAATGAAATATGAAAACTGTGAGGTGAAAGAAGTATTTTTATTCTTAGTATGAAAATCACCTTTCATTCAAACAGCAGCTGTTCATTCCTGATTTACTTTAACATGATTATTAATACTGTAAAACAGTTGTTCATTCTTGATTTACTTTAAAATGATCATTAATAATGTACAGCAGCTGTTCATTCTTGATTTACTTTAAAATGATCATTAATACTGAACAGCAGCTGTTCATTCTTGATTTACTTTAAAATGATCACTAATTTTGAACAGCAGCTGTTCATTCTTGATTTACTTTAAAATGATCACTAATTTTGAACAGCAG